ACGCTCACCATCAACAATCTCAAAGCCCCAGATCTAGATGAGCGAGATTAGCTAGATTCTTTGTATCCTCAAAAACTCTGTAAAGCACTCACCTGCTCAGCAGTCCAGCCGTTATCCTTGCTCTGCACGTAGCTCTGCACGAACAAACCCTCGCCTTCACCAAACTCCTCACCCTCATTATCAATGATAAATCCATCGCTAGCCGAGCCATCCGCTAAGATCTCGCCACGCAAGAACTTCTGAATCTTGGCATCATCCTCGGGCTTGCCGGCGCTAGTTTGGAACTCAATGGCAGGACGGCCCTTCTCGCCACGGAAGTGGCGCGACTTGCCAGAGACAGCACCGAAGATGTTGTCGACGTGCTCACGAGGGGTCCAGTCAAGGGTGCGCACCTCCTTGGTGCCTGTGATTCCACCGGTGATTACCTGGTCCACATCGATGTGATAAACCTTAGGGTCCGCGGAGTCAGCGTATTCGTGGACGTGCAGGGTCACGGTGGCGTAAGGGAGGGCCTTGCGAAGGAACCAGCCGACGCCTTGCTGTATTGGGTGTCAGTGGATCTGTTCAATTCTATGTATAGCCATGTGAACCCTCTCAAATACTTGAGATTGAGAGTATTTCCCAGCTGGCAACTAGCTATGAAAAGACCATATCGTGCACGTACCAGGGAGAGAATGGGATCAGTGGGGTTGGACAGTGTGGCGTCCTGTGATACGTGAACTTGGTTAGCCTTTTCTCTTCCTTGCGAGATGTTAATTCTGTTTGTTTTCCGTGAGCAACGTACCATAACCCACTGTCCACTGAGGTTCTTGACGGTGATATCGGCGGGGGCGGCCATTCTGATAGACTGAAGCTAGGAATGCGGGGTGATGGTGGGGTAGCAAAAGGATTGAGTTGTGAGGATCACAACGGATGCAATAATTGGAGTTGAAAAAAAGGAATTGAGTTTCAAATGCAGGGGGGATTGACCAAAGCAGAATTGTCTTGTCTCGGTCGTCTCCCTATATACTCTTGTTGTTGGTCGCGCCTTCTTTTGCATGTGCTCCTTCCCGAGGCTCGAGCTGACACGTGCTTCCGCTGACTCATATCGACATCATTATCAATTACTCCTGACCGCCTCGTGCCTGACCGCCCTGGTGCCTTACTGCCTCAATCGGCCCGCATTTCTGCCTCAGGCCTGGTTGTTTAGAGCTGGTGTTTCCTAAAGGCCAAGCCAATCCAATGTTGACGGTATATCCTCTTATACACAACCATGGCCTTCAACAAGAAATATGCCGGTCTTCCGGACCTTGTGAGTCCTCAAATTTCTATTCTTTCTTTGAAAACTTGCTAACTCAGCTCCCAGGATCCCTCCCCAGATATCTATGAAACCCCTGACCTGACCGACGAAGCATCCACCGTCCCCGTAAGTCGCATTGCAAGCCAACATGTTATATGACATGCTAATTAGCTTTCAAACTACAGACTGCAACTATCCGCACCGACTCCGACCATGATGACGCAGGTACTAGTCCCGATATCGACCGTGAAGGTGTCAACGCAGACCAGGCGCGTATGCACTTTATGGGTGCCGCGGTGGATGCCCGCGACGCCAACTTCTCCGACAGCATCTCCATGAAGCGACAGGCATACCGGAGCAAGAATAAAACCCGCCGTCGACGGATACGTGATGATGGCTCAGAGGAAGTCGGTGACTTTAGTGACAGTGAAGACGAATCGCTCGACCGGCGGCTGGCACGTCTGCGGCGCGAAGTAGAGGACCTGAAAGTGGAAATGGCTAGCAAGGCTTCTGCGGAAGGGCAAGTGGTTACTGAATCGAAGCCATCCCAATCTGCAGAGCAGCAGGGTGACAAGGAACTGGGCGACGGTGTTGCGGAGTTGAGTCGGGCACTGGATAACTTGCATGCCTCGTCGCGAAGCAATCAGGCTTCTTCAGGTTACTCGGCCGCCACTGTTCTTTCTCAGAAACTTGCCCCCGGTGCGAATTCCGCGGCATCTGGTGCGCAGCAACAGTCCTCCGCTGATGGACAGCCGTCTGCTACATCTGCACTTCCTCAACCAGCTCCCAGCTCCGCGGGAATCCTTTCACACGCAGCTGCTTTCGAGGGCCGGTTAGCGCTTCTTGAATCCTCTATGGGCATTTCAAGCTCCTCGAACCCGTTCGTTAGTGGCGGCATCAGCGAGCCTGCCCTCCAGCCTGTCCTCCCAGCTCTCGATCAGCTTGCTTCCAGACTTGCAGCTCTCACTGGTCTCCTAGTCGGTACAAACCCTGCGGCCGGGGCCCCATCGATGCCCGGCATGACCACCCCGCATCTGGAAGCACTTTCTACAAGAGTTCGTAAGTTGACCACGGATGCTGAGGCCCTCGCATCTGCCCGTAAGCGTGCAGCCGATGCGGCCAAGGCTTCTCAGAATGCCCGTATAGCGAACACGGAAGATGACACGCCCGCGCAAGATGTCAATTTTGGAAATGACGAGCAGACAGCTAAAATCCAAGCTCTTTATGCGACCCTCCCCACAATCCAGTCTCTCCATCCATTGTTACCGAGTGTTCTCGAGCGCCTACGCTCTCTGCGCGCTTGCCATGCTGGCGCGGCCCACGCCGCCGAGTCCCTTAACGAGCTAGAGAAGCACCAGGCCGAGATGACGTCTGAAATTGAACAGTGGCGCGAAGGTCTAGCAGCCGTGGAGGAGAAGATGTCGCAGGGTGAAGCGGCTCTGCGTTCGAACGTTGAAACGGTTGAGCCCTGGGTTCGTGGCCTGGAGTCTCGTATGGCACGTCTGGATGGTCCCCCCCGGTGGCTTGTAGTACTGCGTCCTATCCTTTTGCTTTATTCCTGTCTACCTGTTGGAGGAACAGGGATCCATGATACATAATACCCTATTGCATGTGCTTTCTTTTACATATGTATAGAAAATGAATGGTTGAAAGACTTTGTATACACCCAAGAATCTCAACTTGATGAGACTCGGTCAGAAAAATATAGGATAGGGCCTATTGAATCGAATAAGACCTAAGGTCCAATGGATCCTCCAGATCAACTACTACTAGTAGTACTCCTCCCGAATTCGTTTGAGCACTTTAAGCTTAGGTCGCATATTTAGCTCGACCCACCACCCACGCAAGACCACTTTTCGTACCGAGTCGCGAGCTTGATCATACAAGCCCGCCGCACTCTGACCACCCAGCTTCGACAAAAGGCGCCGCTCAGCAGCCCCATTCGCCGTAGAACCGGGTTTCACTACGGAAACTCCCGCAAATCCATCAATAACATCAGTCGTTTCCCATTTCGAGTCCTGAAGAACCCTCCGCAACCGAGTCTCGTCGTCATCTTTATAGCCCGCATCGGAAGAAGCTTCGACAATAACGTAATCGAATTGATTCCAGAAGGCGTGGGAGGATTTCAAAGCTTTGTCTTCGGTCTTGTCGTAATGCCATCCCAGGCCAGGGGACTGTTGAAGGAATCTCGTAACACCAGTTTGGCAGGCAAGATTTCCAAGGTAGACTGAAGCCCCATCAAGTTCATCGGACACGTACAGGGAATGATGGTGATGGAGTGCATTCAGTGCCTGCGCGCCAGGGTAGTTGGCTGCTGAGGCAGGAAGGAGAACGAAATTTGATAGCAGGAAGGCGGCTAATGATGAGAGCACCAGAAGACGAGAGGAGAGGCTGGCGAAGAGAGAACGAGATCGGCGGTTCCAGAGATACGATGCACCCAAGGCAGCGACCGCAGTAAGAGACGGGATGATATAGATGATGAAACGCCACTCCTTGTGCGGCTGAATACTGTATAACGCGACGAAGGCTAATGTCGGGGTAAGCAGCGAGATGGACGGTTGCCGGGTGGCAGGCTGACGTAGAGCAACCGGGATTGCGAGGAGATAGGTCAAGGGATTGAGAAGAAGACGCGGTAGTGCATTGAGGAAATAAAAGTACCACGGCGATGTTCCCCATTCTGAGGACTGGCCTGAGACCACATTGAAGAGGAATGCGTCTAGTTCTGGCCAGAGTGGGACGCGGTTCCAGAATATAGAGTCTATGCCCATGGTGAGCTGTAGCCCAACGAACAGACTGATTACGCCTGCAAGGACAGCATCCTGAATAAATCGAATTCGGTCCATTGCAAGGAGGAAAATGGTCTGCGTCGCAACGAGCAGCGCCAGCTCCGAGCGGAAGACTATCCCTGGGATGGCGACGAGGATCAATGACAGACGGGCCCGGCGGCGCGCATCCACTCGTGGTATCGTATAGTCTGGTAGAAGAAGACGGGTGGCTATGGTTGTCATGCCGAATGCGAACATGTTCGACAGCGGTCGTGACGCGTAGTAGATGACATGGAACTGGCTAACTTGAAAGACTAGGTACCAGATCGCTACGGTCTGGCCGAAGCCACGTCGAAGGCCATGGGCTAAGTAAAGCAACGATCCAGCGTTGTAAACACCCAGAATAGCCCGAGCTATGAACTGTATTAGCTCAATCCAGGGCCGAGGGACCTATCCTGCACTTACCAAGGATTTGGTGGTCGACACCCTTGCTCAAGGCCGCGAAGGGTTGCGAAAGCTTCGCGAGAATCAATGCACCGATAGCAGATCGGGGCACAGCCCCAGGGAAAGCAAAGTGATCATATTTCAGGTCAAATTTCGGCGTGAAGCCCGGCAGTCCATGATTCGAGATGTCGTGGATGGCCTGCACATGGAACGACTCCTCGACTTTGGTGTATGGTGCCACGAGCAGGTGAAGGAGAATCAAAACGGGGACAAGGAGCCCGACCAAATAGAAGACTAGAATGAAATTAGCTCTCGATGGCAATTGGTGCATGGCGGCACGCAGATGCGCAGACTTGCCATTCCTCATGGTGACTGCATTGGCGGTGGTTGTTGATCCGGAGATCTGGCGCTTCCCGCACTTCGCCTTATCTCTCGTGCTGTCCGACTCTCTTTCCTTCGAGGTACTCTCTCATTCAGCTCGCCCTGTCCCCAACCCACCCACCACCGCCACCATGTTCTTCTTCGGCTTTGGCAAGCTTATCTATGGTGAGTAGTCCAAAGAATCCATTTTCAGTCCGCGCTAATTCCTTTGGTAGTTACTGTTCTCATGATCAACGCCATCGCTGTCCTTTCCGAAGATCGATTCCTTGCTCGCAGTACGTCGCTCTCCCTACACCCAATCGCGTACCCTCCTAGTACCGCGATTCTTCGTGCACAGTTTCTAACCTTTGAATATCTTATACAGTCGGATGGGGTCGCACGCAAACCGAGCCGGCCTTCGGCGCATCCCACGATAGCACCAGCGTGAAGGCGAGGCTGGTCAAGCTGATTGACAGCGTGCGGACACTCATGCGGAGTATGTCGACCCTCCCCTCCTCCAGGTCTTTACTTCTTGTGCTTCTGGAGAGCACTCTTCTCTGGCGGGAGCCATAGGGTGCCTCTACCAGGCAGGCACCAAGGCCGCAAGCTTCGACACCCTTGCTTACTCGCAATTATTTAATAGTACCTCTTCTCGGCATCAACATACTCATCATTGTCTACGAGCTCATTCTCGGTTGATACTTGATCCCTCTATATCCCTCCCGCGCCAATTCAACCGAACCAGACAAAACGCGTTCATGGTGTGCGCCGCATCCTCCGGCCCCGCTACTTTTCGCATCCCCCATACATCTCAAGTCCAATCCAGCGAAACTGCGTCATTTTTAATATGACCTCCAAATTTCCCCAGTCACCGTATACGGTGGCACGACCTTCACGAATAACCATACAAGATGTTGCGGGAACGGTGGAATTGATCAGGCGGGCGATGAGTCTCAAATAATTCATTTGTTGGAGCTTGCTAGCTGGACCGCCCACACAAATGTATGGGCCGGAATTGCTATTGCCCGTATGCGGCTCCTACTTTTGATATTCTTTCCCAGGCTATCTAGTCCATTGTATATACCCGCTCATTCTCCTGTCGAAAAGAAAAGAAACAATAGTACAATCAGTAATAACCGAATGTCATCACAAACCTTGGAATGCATCAAAACATACTCTACAAATCCGTCCCCGGCCATAGTACTAATATAGCACATGATGACAACTTGAACCAGTCGATGTTAGTATGGGCAGCTTGCTACTATAGTACGTCAATCAGAAGGTATTGGCTTGGCATATCGGATCAGCTGCCACTTAGAGTTAGATCACGTGGACTTCGGCAACTGGACATTCTCCTCCTTTTTTCATACGACACCATTCCTGGATGTATATAGACGAATCCTTCGCAGAAATCTGCCGTTTATGGTATTTCCTGGCGAATTGAGCACAGGCTGCCATGTATGCCGCAGGCGGAAGGTTAAGGTGAGAACCATAGTACTTCACCCGGGGTAGGGTAACTAAATCTAACCATTGAGAAGTGTGACGGGGCCAGACCCGAATGCCATCGATGTGATCAGCACGGTGTTCGGTGTACTGGCTACCCAAAAAAATCTAGATTTCGCGAGTATAAACCTCCTCAGAGAGGTTCATCGGTAACCGTTGCTTCGCCTCAACATGCAGCCGTGACAGACAACAGTAGTCACAGTAATGCTAGCTCGCCATTACTTTGCTCCCAAGCCACTTCAAGCTCTTTGGAGTTAAAAGCGGGTCTCTCTCGAACACTCTCTGAATGTCCAGACTGGAATTCTACTTGTCATTTCATGCATCATATCGTCCTCAGGGCTCACCGATCACCCTGTGAAGGTCATTTAGCATTTATGCCAGATCTTTTCCAGGAGCAGGGCGATAAACTGTGCTTAAAGTATGCACTTCTAAGTGTCTCTTATCTCAGGCTGTCCAGTGAAACCAGCAGCCCAGAACTTTACATGAAGGCTCGAAAAAGCCATGGCCTGTCCTTGGAGCATCTGAATAAAGCCCTTTGCTCGCGTGAGAATGCCATGAAGGATGAGGTTCTTGCCACTTGTCTGTTGCTGAGCATGTTTTATGTAAGGCTGTCGGATGGGTTTTCATTTTCTGTTGCTGATGTTCATGTACAGAATCTATCTCACGAAGGTGGTGGCTTACCCGACCCCCACATGTCCGGAATCTCCCATCTACTACAGCTGCGCAGTAATGAACAAGACACGGGGAAATATACTCGATCTTTAATAGGTTCGACAATTGTTCAAATTGTTAGTACTTAGTTGTGATATCTTCCTTTGATCTTGCTTCTGTCAACTAATTCGTCCCCAAATAGCAAAGCCAAGCCATTGGAACGAACAAGTTCCAGTATGGCAAGGTTCCTGTTCTTATCAGAAAAAAGACTCAGTGGAATCCCGACTGCGTGCTTCGAGCTTGTAGCCTCAATACCATGATTGCCGAATTTTGCCATGTTATGTCAAACCTTCCCATCCATCCATGTGAAGAAGGAAACCCAAGACAACAGAAGCTTTTACGAAGTCTACTCAAGCGCGCATCATATATCAGTCACGAAATTGAACTCTGGGACGCGTGCATTCCAGGCCATTGGAAAAAGCAATATCAGTACGAAAGCGCTGATTCTGCTGCAATTTCGCCTCCAGGCCCTTGGACTATCACCTTCCTGGCAACTACTCACAGCGCCCAGATAGCCTTTTATAATCGCATGCTCTCCTGCTACAAAGCGGTCCAAAGGCAGGACCCGGACTTCAGAATGCCAAGCTATCCTGGTGATACAGTGGAATTCTGCGAAAGCATCGAAAATCGCATAGCCCACCTTCTCAAAACAATTTGCTATGTTATCTCCCTCACCATCGGATTCCTGGATGCAGATCATATTTTCCGACCTGTTCCAACTGCTAATTTTGCAAATAGCAATGCTTTGGTTTGGCCCATGTGGGCAGTCATTTCCTGTCCGTTCGCATCCCAGGATCAAATAGCTCTTTGTCGTCTAGTTTTGGATTATGTTGGGCGGACTCTAGGTCACAAATTGGCGTATTCTTTATCTAGACAACCGCCCGATGCATATCTTTCCGAGGGTTTCAATTAGTTAATTAGTTTAAGCGACGAGAGATGAGAGATATACACATGAATGAAACGAATTTTTGAACGCGTATGCAATTTCCACGAGCCAGAGGCAAGCCGCAAGTATCCATCTAGCCTCATGGCCAGCGGAGAAAATGGAACATGGCTAAACTGGCTCAGTAAAGCAATTTTTGCAGGGAGGCCTTCCCTTAACACTCCCGCTTATTCTTCTCACATCCACTTAGGCGTGATTGAACAACGCGAATGGTTTTAGAAGAGTAGTGGGTCTGTTTTGGCACGATGATTCCCGAAGCAGTAAACCCGACCGAGAGATTGATCGGTCGTAACAACGGGGTGTACGAGTACTGCTCCGTACCTGCATGGGATAGAGCCGACCTAAAATATGGATAAGGAAAGATCAACAATTAGAAATTCGGATCACCCAATTAGCATTCGAGCTATCGCCAACAGAAAAGTGGAAATGTGTGATACTCCGACGTAGCCAATGTAGACAGCTATCGATCTACCACGCCAAACTAATCTTTCCCTCAAAATAGCGCATCTACAATAATCGATCGCCCATTTTTTATCTCCGAGGGGTGGACTTGGCTCGCTGCACGCGCATACCATTCATGTCGCAATTTATTTTTCGCCCGTGAAACCAAGAGCTTCCGAGTTATCCTGACGATCCCAACCAAAAAGGACCTCGAGGTTCCGGAGAAGGGGATGGGAAAAGCCAGATTCACTGCAGGAGGATTCTGCAGATCCGCCAGTCCGGAAGTATTTAAATGGGATGTTCGCAATGTATCAAAACCTGTCGTGCCAGCTTAAGGTCTCTTCACTGCTGCACGAAATCATGCGCCTGACTACTACCGTTTTTAACGCCCTTCTGGGGGCTTATTTCGCATCTGCGAACGAAGTTCGAACCCACTGCAATCATAAACCCCTCAACACCACAAGTTTCAACTATTTCACCGATGTAGCGAATCAGACTGTTCATGAAATTGCTGTAAAGTTTAACAGAGGTGTATGTGACATTGGTCGTGCCAATTTGAGTAAGTCGTGCCATATCAATCAGATCGGGAAATGATGGGAAAGCAAGAGTTTACTGATTTATAATCGCATGGCAGTGGTCGACGTATCAGTTGTGCCCAACGTTGGACAGACTCTTATTATTCCTGGTCAAGTTTGTCATCCTGATTGGACCTCCTGCATCATTGATGGACCAGGAAAAAACGATTGTTTGGTGGGTGGACCGCGTCTATACTACACCGTGAACGGGGATACTTTGTGGAAGATTGCCGGACGCCTCAACATGACTCTCGACTCTATCCAATCTGGAACTCAGTATGAGGCCAATGAGACCATGGCTGCGGGCCAGTTTGTCAAGATCCCTTTGTGCTATCCTAGTGCATGCGAGATTGAGCCTTATACTTTCTCCAGGGGTGTCTATAAGGACCTTGCAGACAAGTACGGCTCGACTGTGGGCCAGATTCAAATGCTGAGTCCGACATACAACTACAGCTCCAGTGCCAGCGAAGGTGGCGCTGGTCCTTCTATTGATATTGCCAAAAACTGCCGTTTGCTGTCATCCAACTATACAATCCTTGAATAAAATCACTACCAGTTGGCGATACTATGTTTAAAAGGCCTCATGTTACTATTCTCATATTCAAAAATTGTCTAACATCGTCCCGACTAAATGAAGCCTAAGGTTACATACCCACTGTTCTGACGCTTCCGTAGACTTATACCCGGTTGGCTCAGTCTGCCACTAAAGAACGCCAGTGTATGAAATTGACAAAAATACGCTGGAGCAAATATACGTGCCGGCGCGTCTATGTTCAGCCTTGGGCGGCTTGACAAAATCGGTTTGGGTCACCTTGAAACCGAAAAATTCTCGTAAACTCTAGTTGCATGAACTAGTGAGTTAGTACTGGCGGGAGACCGTTTCTGGCCGCGGCCGATGTCTCAACCGTACTAGACCTAATTGCATAGTCTACAAAACTACATTCCGTTCCAAAAGTTCTTCCCCACCAACTTATCTACACCAAAACCTAATAATTTCAACACTATGAAATTTAATAATTTTGTATGATAACTAATTTTTTAAAAAATAATTTTCTATAGAGAATTACTTAAGCTCTATTTTTCTATATAGATATTTTATCTGTATCTATCTTATCTAGAGAGTAGTCTGCTACTAAAGTTAAACATTAGGTTTTTCCTATAATCTAACCTAGGGTTTTATCTGGTCTTCTATAGTAGTAAACTTTAGTAGAAGACTACTCTCTAGATAAAATAGATACAGATAAGATATCTATACAGAAAATAGAGCTTAAGTAATTCTCTATAGAAAATTATTTTTTAAAAAATTAGTTACCATACAAAATTATTAAATTTCATAGTGTTGAAATTATTAGGTTTTGGTGTAGATAAGTTGGGTGGGAAGAACTTTTGGAACGGAATGTATGATATCACATTATTTTTTTTCCTACCCTTGAATCATTTATCCGTTTTTTTTTGTTTCTTTTTTTAATATGCTCTATCCTTCACTCTGTCACCAGATTTGCCGTAGTCTCCAACGTTTTAACTAAATCTTGAACGTCACGATCCGCTCAGAAGAAGATGTGGGTTCTTTCGATAGTGACAAATGCTTTAAATACCACACCGAGGATGATAAAAAAAGCTGAAAAGCCCGAATTTCCCAGGTTTTCGTCTGACTGCACCGGTAGGAGCAGCTCTTTTTCTCGCCGAGTATGATCTGCGTGAGCTCACTCAACGCGAGGAGGCGTTGCACCACAAGGCCAAGGGCCTGGGAAAGGCTTCACTCATCGAGGAGGATTGCAAGGAACTTGAATTTTTCAACCAGGAGCTCCAGGAAATTGAAGCCCAGTTACCAGCGAAAGAGTATGCGGTTTACAGGCAACTTACCTTGTACCCAAATTCCTGCTGAGAAAGCTATCAGAACTTGAGGCAGGACTCGAGGTGGTATATGCGGGAAGAATTGGTTGGGGATTGTTCAGACCAAGGAGGATGCTGCAGTCGCGGATGTGGATGCTGTGAAAAGAGAGATTTGACCAGAAGAAGAAAAGGTCATGGCCATTGCACTACCGAATGCTGGTGCTGCATCGCCAGTAGGGGGCTTGAGCTTCCGCATAAGCAAAAAACGTACCGCAGGGACGACTTCGAGCACCTACTTGAGTTGCAGACATCACCCCAGCTTCAAATGCTGATAAATTACTTTTTTCTTCCATTAAAGCCACGAAAAACTATCAAATCAACTTTCTGGTGCCGGCGAATTTTCCGATAGGTTCTGCTATCCTAAGGTTGGAGGATATGCTCTAATCCGCTCGATAGCCGCTTTCTGGATCCACGCAAATGATACCTAGTATTTGCTTCAACTAGGTAGCATAAGTAGAAGATGAATTTGATCACTATTCGTTATCATTCAGAATTATAATAGACATAGGAAGTAAGAGCAGGTCCATGCCTCAATTAATATCACTCGCACTGAGTCGAAATCTACGTATATAGAAAAAGGTCGTACGGTACACAATAATAACTAACCGGCGGACCCTCCATGATGAGGGCAAAGCAACTTCATCCCTTATCTACATTCGTGCGAGAGGCAGGTACTACTTAAGACGAAGTGAGTATTTTAAGCTTTGCAAATATGATAAGCTAGTATAGGCCACATTCAAAATGCAAGGAGTAGCTACCTGGAGGAAGTGGACCATGAAGGACATGCATCAACGCAACGAAGAAAAAGGAAATCGCTCAAGGCTCAATAATCAAAAGCAAAGGGGAAACGCCTGAAAGATCCAATACCCATGCTTGCCAGCATTTGCAAAATCCGAAATAGATAGAACGCCAGTTTTCGCGCCAGATAGGACAGACCTCGTTGGAGAAGGTACCATGTTATCCAACATAATACAAAAGTCAACAGCGATAAGAAAAAAATAGAAAGTAGTCGTAGGCACTGAAATCAGCCATAATCAAAGATCCAATCAATATAGTCGAAGAAGACATAGCCGAGAATCTGTCTCATAGAGGGCAAATCACGGTAGAATAGGATAGAGAGGCGATGGCGCAGATAGTAAGAAATGTAATGATACATCCACGAAAAGCTATGTGCAAGAAGCAATTTGCGCTCATATGTGCATGATAGTCAGGGGTATCTCCGAAAGCTCGACTAAATGCCGTCATGCAAGAAAACAGAATGTCGCCTGTAGTACAGATTTGGAGCTCATGTCGTTCTTTTAAAGCTGAGTGATCTCCAACGGTGAGTATGACCGGTCTTCTCGGTCTTGTTGTCTTTCACCGGCGGTGGGCCTGTTCGAGAAGACATTTTGGGATTGTGAACGTTGTTTGCATCCTTGGTTGGAACGGCCGGTCGTTCAGGCTCGAATGCGGTGGTGGTAGGAGGAGAGCCAACAGCAGGGGTGGTAACGGTAGCGGTAATAGGAGCAGGAGCAGGAGAAGCAGCAGCGGTGTTGTTAGTGGTGGTAGTGCTAGTGGCAGTGCTGGTGGGAGTTTCGGGCAATGGAGTGGCAGCCAGATCCGAGGTCGATAACCGGGGCTCTTTGTCCTTACTCAGTCGTTGACTGAGATTCCGACTTCCGCGCCTTAAAAAGCCGAACGATTTCTTAGGGGAGCCATTCTCGGCTCCGACATCATTTGCGTCGGCCTTGCTTCTTTCGATAGCCATTCTGAATTCCTCGGCTTCGCGCTGAGCCTCTAGTTGACGCTGATGATCCGCCTCTTTGCGGCGAATCTTTTCGGCCTTCTCCCTCTCTTTCTCTTCCGCCTTGAGACGAGCCTTTTCTTTTTTGACCGCAACATCGCTCTTTTTTGGGCTCAGAGGAGGCGGCTGATCGTCGGGAATGGGAGGTAGAGGGGGTTGAACAGCTGGGGCCGGCGCGGGTTCCAGCTCGGGACCTTCGTGGTGAGTTGGCATCATTTGGGGTGCCGTTGACGTCTTGTGAATAGGAGGAAGTCGGTTCTGGTCGTCAGAAGGCACCTGAGATGCGCTGTTGACGTGAACTAAATTAGGTGACAAGGGGTATCCGTTGGTCTTGGTCGACTCTCCTGAGTCGGTAGCCGCGGTTGTCGATGCCTGGTCTTCCTGAGCTTGTTCCCGAAGAACGGCCTCAAGAGTCGTTTCCTGGTAGAAGAGGACATAGGCGCATGCAAGGCCAGGTCGATCCCCAAAGAAGTTTCGTACGTAGTTCTTATCAACCGGCTCCACGAGTTCATCATCAAAAAGCAACCAGCCCCGGTCCTCCGTTTTAATTATTGCAACATAGTGGCCGTGGTAAGGTCCGCCGCCAATGTGAACGACTACCGCGTAGAGCTCGTAGAGACGATCGGGGTCTTCTGCATCGTCGGTAGTGTTGAACAGTCGAAGATGGTAGGGATAGACAACGCGGTGAAACAACTTCTGTAGCCGTTGCAGATCTTCTGTATACTTAAAACGCTTCAGATGCAGTGCTAACACCCGGGGTAGACGTTTAATCTTCATTCGCTTTTCGGCCTCCTGGAGACCACCGCAGTTATCACAGTGGAACTTATTACGCTCGCAGAGCATCTCCTCGGCGGAAAACTTCCGAAGACAGGAAGTTACCGATGAGTGTTGCTCCAAATCCACCGAGAGATCTAAAAACACTTCATCGCGTTGCGAGACCTTCTCACAGGTCAGACACTTGGTCTCTGACGTCAAGGTTCCTTCAAAAAGTTCATGCACCCATCTTGTCGTATTCGGAGATTTCGAGCCGGTACTGGTCGTCAACATGCCCAGGGAATCTGCACTCTCGGATGGTGGGAGGGATTTCTCCGCGAAATTTTGCTTGGTGGCCTCTGCCTCTACATTGGAAACCACCTCGTTCAGCAAGAGGTTCAAAAACTCATGCGCATCCTGGTGCATAGGTGTTCGAAACATTTCGTTCTCACGTCGCAGTACATCCAGAAATTGCTGCGGGCGAATGATTCCGATTCGTGATTGACTTGCCATCAGCGACTCGAAGATATCCTTGAGCGAGGTGAATAAAGACTCCGACATGCCATAGCTGGAGGCGTTGTTCTTGGTCTCGAGGATCGGCATCGTCTGTAGAGCAACCTTCTTCTTATATTCCGGTGAATCTTTGTCCTCCGGTTTCTGCGGCTGGTTGGGAGCTACTCCCGCGCCACGCGATGATGGTGCTGGGGCAGCGGCCTTTTGTTTCGCTGCCAGGGCCTCAGCTTCGAGATGTGCGTTGGGGTTCTGAAATCGCAAATTCTGGGCGAGAGCTGCTTCGAGAGTTTCCAAGGGCGTGCGCTGTGGATAATTTATGACGGCTTCGCGGAAGGGGACGGAGTAGTAGAGACATTGGAGGATCGAATTGCAGTAACACGTATTCCCGTACTTGAGAGGCAAATGAGGGTTAGATTGGTCTTCCAAGCCTTATTTCCGGAGAATGAACCGGAAGGGAAATTTCTCACGTTTTCCATGCCAAAGAACTTGTCACTGCCATCGCCACGAATCGGACCTAGATCTTGAAGCCTCTTCTCAAGCGGGGACATCTGCGGAGTCTGGGGGGTCCTTCTTGACGGGGGCCGGGGCAGGCGTTGAGGCGGCGGCCTATGCAAATCGACTGTCAATTTGGCCATTCGCGTCTGGAAGGGTATCACGAGTGCGGCCTTGGGGGAGCGAGTGCACATGGTCTGCTGTACCACCGCACAAGAGGGATGATGCTCGTCGGGAAGGGCGAACTTACCCCATTGGCCTTTGGCCGGAAGAGCTTCATAATGGTCGAATAGGCTCGTCGGTTGCAGCGCACTGCATGAAGCAGACAGTATTACCGATAACAGAAAAGACCACACATAGAAAGGGGAGATGAGATTAAAGGAAGGGAGAGAGAAAGAAGGGGAGATTAGAGAAGAGGGGCGTCGAGGCTGACTGAGGTCGGGGCAGAATGAGGCCAGGAACGTTCGGCGGAGAGCGAGAGCCGTCCGGGGAAATTGTGCACGGTGGACGGTGGACGGTGGACGAAGAGGGCCAGAACCCGCCGAGAAAGTCTGAAAGTTTCCTTTGCAACTTGAAACGCAGGAACCGCAAGCGCAATGAGGATAGGCAAAAGGTAAGGGAAGGGATGTGGCGCAGGGCGGGAAGTGAGTAAGTCTTGGTTGATAGTGAATCATTTCGGGAATCGCTCCGACTTATCTTCGACTCTACATACTCACATACCAACCCATTACTCCGTACTCCGTACACTCCCTTACTGTACATTACTCAGATTGGATGCCTGGAACTACTGTATGGAGTAACCTGATTCGTGGTCACCTATTTCACGCAGACTGCAGCGGAATCATCCAGAAAAAGCGCACTCTCCTCCGCAGTTTCAAAGCCACGTGGAGTCCTAAGGCAGGTACTGGTCCAATCGCCGAATTTCTTGACCCGCGCGATTCCAATGACTTAAAGTGCAAGTCAAGTGTGTGCGCCGGCTATATCGGAGAAGGAGAGACCGGTTGTTCTGTCCCAACAAAGCCTACGCTGCGGAGAGTCCATTCATTTCCATTGGGTTTCCCTCTTCTCCTCAGCGGAGCCCCCCCACGAAGACCATGGAACTTCCTCCTCATTTCAACCGGGATATCCAACATCTCCAGCGCTAACAGTGGAGGCCATGAACTCTACAAACCCGCAACCGTTGCCCAACGATTGGCCCATCCCGCCCTGCGCTCACGGGCCATGTGTCCGCCCCTCGCATGGCGTTCCACAACGCCCAATGATCATCCCCAGCGTGGGGAATTCCTCGCTGGTGGCGGTGGAGTCAGATTCCCCTCTCCAGTCTCGGTGGTCCTGGCCCCCAGGCGACGCACCATGTACCTACCGATGTATCCTGGTCACTTTCGTGCTTGACTGCATTCTGGGGTAGAGATCTGATCATCGACATGCAAGGAAGTCGTGGGATCAACCACACATACGAGGTTGTCTTGATGACCGCGCGGCCCGTGTCCTTGTCACCGGCGACTTTCCGAACAGCGACCCCGGAAATGCGACAGTAGCGCAGTCCCGCAAGGAGCCTATTATTGACATTGACGCAGGCGGGCGCGCACTAACCCACCGCCGGAGCCTAGTCCTGCATGCCCAGTCTCTATCGACCTACATTGATTGACTACCGACTGGGCAGGTCCTTAACCTCCGCCACCCCATGGGACCATCCGCAGGGATCTCTCCTAGGATACCACACCATATCCAAGCGCCCCAATTTGGGGGCCAAGAAGTTGAAGCTTCTGCTAATTGGAGACTGAAGACAAAGGGAGTCACAGAGTGGCGACCAAGGCTAACTGTTGCATATACGGATACATGCCACTCTATCAAGCGGTCTCGAAGGGCATGCATACATCATAGTGGGGGCGGGAATCAACCGTCATATGTAGACCCCCATCTCTACACCGTGCCCCTTCCCCCCTTTGGGCAGCTTGCAATCACGACGATGCTCCACTTATATGATATCCGGGCGGAGCGCGACGGAATTGTACTTTACTGATTCAATAATCGTCGTGGACATCCCGGGACTAGCTTTGCTCGCTTGTTAAACCCGATTCATGAACTGGGCTTGATGCATGACCGCAACTCGGTTGCAGCCACTCTGGTAAGCATATCTTGGTCGGGTCAGGTTTCCATGGGCCACGGTCGTCGTCGTTGGCCTTCGGCGTATTTCCCATTCGCTTTCTTGGAGGTGGTGAGTGCTTATTATGCTCGATGCCTCTCAAGTGGCCGGCTTCGCACCCGCAAATAATTTGCCACTTAATTTGATTGAATTTCAATATCCGAGGGATATTTTATCTCGGCGGCCCGTACTCTCGTAAGTCACGACGCTGGCTTTAGGTGTTTTGCTCTCAGATACAACTAGCCCAGGAGTGCTCGGGGTGGGGTGCGGTTTTTTGTCGGCCTATCAACCTGGTCAGAACAAGCCATGATCAGCAGGGTTGCGGCTTAACTAGGCATATACATACTTCAGTGGCTAGTCAAGCTCGCTTCCTTCTCAGGTGCTCAAGAGCTTTTCTGCTGTGTTGCCAGTCTCACGCTTACTATATTTCGTTGGTGTGAAATAGACTGGCGCAGAAGCTTCCCGGTCGCCCGGGTGCTCCACTTGAGCTTCTTGGTAACCCTTGGAAATTTACCATTAAGATTTTACTTTTCAAAGAAATATGAAAGAGTAAATTGTCAAGTCATATAATTTCAAGAAAGATGGCAAGTAGAAAAATGAAAATGAAAAAAGTCAATATTCCCCACCCATTTGTCGCCTCAGCTGCCGAGCCCGGAGAGGACCACATCCCGGCACCACCCCCAAAGAACCCTTTGGAGGTAGTTGGGAGTGGGAAGTAGTAACTATCTTTGTTGCAATTAGTCCAGTATACCCTCTCAACCTCGCTTTTGTCCTATCATTGACTATGGCCAGCAGGATCGATCCTTTTAGCTGAGATCGCAAGTTTGGTCAAATCATACTGGATCAATTTCGGCATTCGGAGTTCCTATTTGTAGAATCACCGATAAACATTGTGGTGTCGGAGATAGCTACTCAGGTCATTTGTTTGGGAATTTCAAGAGCATTTATTGAGCCTGATAAAAGTTAATCATCATGCTATATCCGCGCCCATATAAATTTTCTGGCAAACATAGATCCATGTGTCTCTGCTACATCCGAACCTATGAAATCCAGCCGCTTAGTAGGACTTGTTAGAGGCCACGAGCAATAGAATATCCGTCAACTGCCTAGTTCAAGTTTCATTCAAAGTAAGATTTCTCTACCAGTATTCCGCATATACTAGACCTGCAATGGTAAAAGTTTTTGGTTCCGCCAACCTGGAACCTCAGTGATTAATTCAATTCAAGTTTTTGAATGACATTCAACTTCCAAGTTGTTCTATTAGAAACACCGGAAGCCAACGGGCTTCACAAAGGGATAATATATTCCCTCCAATGCTCTTTAGTATCGGCTTCTTTGAATTTCTCAATACCACCGACAATACCTTCTTCACCCACTAGCCAATCACCCATTTCCACTCTTTCGGCCCAATTCTCCAATACTTTGTGGAGATATGAACTACGCGAGTCACGAGGAAAATAGCAACTATAGCCCCAAGAATTGTCCATCTGGTATAGTTGATCAGGCCCGTGTACCGAAGGCCTGTCTCGTTTGAATCGAATAGTATTGCTACTTCGAGCAAAACCATTGCTGCCAATACTAAATGGTAGGAGAAGTCGACTTTCGTTGCCAGACTCCGCGGGAAAATCTTTGTCAGCGGGCTCAATGTATAAGCCAGAGGGGATATTCTCGGCATTTCCGTCAGGAAACCAGGGCCGACTCCAGGGTGACTTGTTCTCCCCCTCCCCACGGAAGAGAAGTAGAGGGAAACAAGGCTCCGGTTTAGCAGTACCAAACCGGACTGGAATTAGTTCATTGAAGCGGCGTTCGGCAAGTGGCTGGTTTACAAGCTCGACCGGATCTTGGAGCCGGATGCCAGGGGCAATATAGCGAAAATTGAGTTGTCTGACGGGAAGAGCTGATAGGAAGCACGAGGCAAATGAATCCGCTTCAATAAATGACGCTTCAATGACTGATCCGGAGTATGGAAGAGCTATTCTTTTGAAGCCTGATTTCTCCCAGCCACTGTCATGTATCGAGCTTGTACTTGGAAGTCGAATCTCAATCGCGTCAAGAAGACGTGTAAAAGCACCGACAGCCTTCTCAACATCCATTGGGGTATGTTGGTGGATCTCCCAAGGAAATACTCCCTGATCGAATATACCACCTGTGGCACCTCTCAATTCCTTCCGACGATCTGAGTATGTCGTTATTTTACCCTCGTTGATCATATCTATATAAACTTGCAGGATATCTTGTAATGGCAGCCATGGCCACCGTTTCGTATCAGACCAAACTAGATCAACCCAGTCTGGGACAAAGGAAGCGAGCTCAGTTTCTTTATCAAATCTATCAGCTTGTCAGTTCTTCTATGTCCTCAATTGTAGCAAATTAGAATAAGAATAGTTATCTCACAGTATGCCAGCTTCTTCCTGACTCATTGTTCTTGTCGATGGATACAACCATATATAACGATCACCCCACAATTTGAGAGAAGTGGCTTGGTCAAAAAATCCGTGTTTGTCGTTTAGCGCAATAAGATAATAGAAAAGATGGAACTCTGAAGTGGTGTCGAATATGATTGCTCTTGCCGACCTCAGGAATCTGATCAGGCTCGGATTTAGGCGAGATGCAAGACCGAATGGAATCGGGAACGACTCTTCCCACCAGGTCTTGGATGGAAGAGAAGCTGGATTCAATCCGGCCCCAATCCACGCATGTTCAAGAATCTGGTTGTGGAGCTGGGCCGATAAGTCGGGGTCAAACACAGCCTTTGGCATCTTGATTGGAAGGAAAATAGATCACGAGGGGCGCATGAATTTCGATGAGACATATTTTAAGATAGAGGGAGCAATGAAGGCGATGAGTTCAATGGAAAACTGTAGATATGGCGAGAAGAGGATAGAAGGCGAAATATCAAATCCACAGAGCGAGAGGGGTCCCAAAGAAGCTAGATCGAAAACACTACAATTAACGGCAATCCATATCACCACTGCTTTTCTCTTTGACCGTCTCAAACATTCTTTCTCGGTTCTAATGTTTCTGGGCCGATTTGCTGAGGAAATGGAGGAGGCATGGAATGAAATGATATGCAGGAAGAAGCTATCCTGTGATGTTGTTAGACTGCAACGCGTCATCTACTCTAACATCACCCCGAATGGAAAATCGTTGATAATCTTGGGAGTTTGGAAAAATCGGAAGCTTCATAATATTGTCAATCGTGATATCTCATCTTCCCCCTTACCATCTATACAATGAATGCGCTTAGATCGGTATCTGGACTGTGCATCGCGATGTGACGGAAAAACCCTCGGAAAAACACGCCTCAAACAGAAAGAAGCCCCGTGCTTCACAAATCGTGCAACGTCGACTCGCTCGCCCTGAATTGCGCGCCTTTTATGCCGTCCCTTGCTAGAAGTCTGCGCTCGACACGAAGAGCAATTGCCAACAATCTCGGCGCTGGCAGCTGTCGTCTGACTCATTATACTTTGCCTGCCCAAGGGCTGCATGCGACCTCGAATCAAATTTATCCCCGTGCCCCCACCATCCCCCACCATCAAAACCACCCCCGCCGCCCTCGTTACTTTTCGTCAATCCCTCACTCCGATTCGATCGACACAATGGGCAAGGACAAGAGTTCTTTTAACCTCAAAACCCCCCAAGGGGACGAAGGATTGGGCCGGAAGCGATGCGCTTCTGCGTGACAAGATCTTTACCACGATTTCAAATGTCTTCAAGCGTCACGGAGGCACTGCCCTCGACACCCCCGTCTTTGAGCTGCGCGAGATCCTGGCTGGAAAGTATGGCGAGGACTCCAAGCTCATCTACGATCTCCAGGACCAGGGTGGTGAGATTTGCTCCCTGCGTTATGACCTGACAGTTCCCTTTGCCCGCTGGCTCGCCATGAACCCCGACGTCCGCAGCATCAAACGCTACCACATCGCCAAGGTCTACCGTCGTGACCAGCCCGCTGTCAGCAAGGGCCGCATGCGTGAGTTCTACCAGTGCGACTTCGATATCGCCGGTGCCTTTGACGCCATGGTGCCAGATGCCGAGGTGATGCGCATTGTGAGCGAGGTGTTTGAGGAGCTGGGATGGAATGGCCGATACACAATTAAGATCAACCACCGCAAGGTTCTGGACGGTGTATTCGCTGTGTGCGGTGTCCCCGAGGACAAGATTCGACCGATCTCGAGTGCTGTTGATAAGTTGGACAAGATGCCGTGGGCGGACGTGCGCAAGGAGATGGTCGACGATAAGGGTCTTGACGGTGCTATTGCGGACCGTATCGAGACATATGTCATGCACAAGGGTGGTCGGGAGCTGCTGGACCGTCTGCTGCAAGACGAGACTCTTATTGCAAATGAGTCTGCCAAGGCCGGTTTGACCGATATGGCTCTGTTGATGGATTACCTTGAGGCCTTTAACTGCCTCGATAAGATCTCTTTTGACATGTCTCTGGCACGTGGCCTGGATTATTATACTGGTGTGATCTATGAGGTTGTCACCGAGGGCTCTGCCCCCGCTGTGCAGGCTGATTCTGCCGAGGCCCAAAAGCCGCAAAAGCCCTCTAAGAAGAAGGCTTCTGAAGATGATGACCGGTCCAATGACCCCACTCTGGGTGTTGGTAGTGTCGCCGCTGGTGGTCGTTATGATAACCTGGTGGGCATGTTCCTTCCCAAGGCCCAGATTCCCTGCGTCGGTGTCTCCTTCGGCGTGGACCGAATTTTCTCCATCACCAAGGCGCGCCTCGAGCGTGATCAGGCTGCCCAAGCCCTTCGCCGCAGCGAAGTCGACGTTTACGTCATGGCTATTGGCGGCAAGGGCTTCAACGGTATGCTCAAGGAGCGTATGGAGATGTGCCAGAAGCTTTGGAGTGCCGACATTAAGGTAATCATTTTCTACATTTGTTTCATTCAGAATCAAAATACTAACCAATACATAGGCCGAATTCAACTACAAGCAGAAGCCCAAACTCCAGCAACAATTCAAGGCTGCCGAGGACGGTGGCATTCCCTTCGGCCTCATTCTGGGCGAGAGCGAACTGGCCGAGGGCAAGGTCCGCATCAAGGAGCTGGGTCTCAAGCTTCCCGACGGCCACCCCGAGAAGGACGGTGTCGACATTGAGCTGGCCTCTTTGATCCCCGAGCTCAAGGCCCGCCTTGAGAAGAAACAGTCCGGCTCTGTCGTCAGCCTCGCGCAACAGCTCCAGGGCGTGCAGGTTTAAATCATCAAGAAACGGAATCAGCAACTAAAAGCGCGGAAGGAGGCGTTTTATCTCTTTTATCGGTTCATTCACTGGCACAATTCGGTCATGGCTAGCATTACCCTTCCCACTAAAATATAGACCCACTCACTAGTACATTGACTTGCTGCATTTAAGGCCTCGGTTTATCTAAACACATAATACCGGATCATGAGCATGTACTGTGCTTTTTCAGGCAAAACGTCTTTGAGCTGCGCATATTGATATCAGCGAGTTCACATTGATCAGTATTTCAAAATATTTGGATCATTTTACCTATCCAAAATAGCGAAGCCGAACCCAGCCCTCGTATTGAAGAAAACAGCATTAGAGTCTTTAGGGCTATCAGATCGACCAGTCTGGAGCAGTTAGTGTTAAAACTACCCACCTTACGAACCCAAACTTAAACGGATCTAAAAGACTCTTGGAAATGTTCAAGTTCATATTCGCGCTTATATTTGAACAACAAGGAAACTAGATGTACAGTATAACAATACAGCAGAAGGAAGCCTAGTAACCCTCAGCATTCTTCATCAAGAAAGATTTGACAAAAGGCAATCGATCGATCACATCCAAGCCCAGGCTGCGCGCCCAGGTAATAGGTCCCTGGCCGGGAATGGTATACATCTTGTGCAGCAAATCACACGCGCCACCGATCTTAGCATTAGGCAGGTATCGCTCGGACGAGTAACGCTCAAGAGTAAGAAGGTCGCCAATATCCATACCGTGCGAAACGGCATACTCGATCGTCCGCGAAAGAGCAGCCACGTCTGCCATGCCGAGGTTCAGACCTTGGCCTGCGAGCGGGTGGATGACGTGCGCTGCGTCTCCGACTAGTGCAACGCGCGGCGAGATATACTGCGAGGCGTGGCGGAAACGGAGGGGGAATGAGGCGACGGTTCCTTCTTGGACGCCGATGGCGGAGGGTGGGATTTGTGATTGTTGAGGGGTGTGTTGGAGACGCCAGATGAGCTCGTCTTCGTGGGAGAATTGATCAGAGGTTCGGTCCATTCCCATCATGTAGGTGAGGTCGGTCATGGAGAGACGGAAGGCGGCGTTGACCATCGCCAGGAAAGCGGGAGTTGAGAGGGATTTGAGATAGGCTGCGTTCTCGGGAGTCGTTGACCAGACGAGAGTAGCGTGGTTGTTTGGTAGGGGAAGGAGAGCGATGGGTCCGCCGAGTGCAGGTAGGAAGCGCTGGTAGGCTGTGCGCATGTTGGCAGGGAAAGATGGCTTGTCTGGATCGCCGAGGGCGAGGGTTGCGACGATGCCGTGTCGGTTATAATCCCATCCTTGTGTGCTGATATCGGCGAATGACCGGACAGGGCTGTTGATTCCATCGGCTCCGACTAGCAGTCTCGCGGCAATTCGAGTTGGAGATTGCGCCTGTGCGCCTGGTGCGGTGGGCGCAACAGATATGATGGGCCAGGCGGATAGGTCGGGCCCTTCGTTTTGAAGATCGGATCCGTTCTCAATTGAAGCAACAGTAGTGTTGGAAAAGAGAGTAAGGTTTTCGTCGCCTGAAGCCTCAATACGCGATAGTAGACCGCGTACAAGATTGGCGTTTTCTGTCATCGTAGCGACGGTGCGCATATCTTCGAATGGTGATGTTTCCGTGGACCAGTCAAATGATATGCGCGAACCCGTCTCCCCATCCCACACTTGCATGTCCTGGTACTCCTGTACTCGGTCGACATCGAGATGTTCCCATGCGTTGATCTTGCGTAAGAACTCAACAGTCGAGGGTGTCAAGCTGCTAACTCGATTGGAGAATTGGGTTGAGTCGAGGTTCCAGCCGCGGGCCTTGCGGAGATCTTGGCTTTCGACGAGGGCGACTTTCAACTTAGAGGTGACGGGAGAAGCTCCTGAAACAATTGATCATTAGCGTCAGTTCATGGGATTTGGCATTGGAGGGTTGCATGACGTACTAAGCGCGGCGAGAAGTCCTAGGCCCGCCGGGCCACCACCGACGCAGACAACGTCGTAGATCTCCGGTGTTTGGCTCGAATTGGTTCCGAATCGACGCCGAGTGGCTCCGATTCCATGACGGCATGAAGTGCAAACATATGGCCGCAGGGCGGCTCTGGAAATCGAACGCATCGTGTTTGACGTTGGCATGAAGTAGATCGGATGATCAAGATGCTGGAGTCAACCCATGCCGAGCACATCTGATCACGTGAGTGGGACACCCCCAAGGAAGTATAGATCGAGTTCAGAGAGCTCCTTATATGAATTTCAGACGAGAAATGAATGCGTTCTAATTTCAAACAGAAAATTGGTAGCAGGGTTCTAGTAGTGGAAATAAGGCCGCTTGTGCTGTTATCCGCAACAATTAATTCCCAATTCCATGGAAACAGCATTACTATCTACTGTCCGATCTAATACGAGTCACTGTAGATGAAGTCCGAAAGTATGGGTGTATGGATTCTCATAAATTTGACGAAGTGCCAAGCTTAGACGTTATACAATTAAAGCCACGGTATCGCCTTAGGAGAAAAGCAATGATGGCATTGCGGGTATGAAATGCAATGACAAGCTAACCAAGTAAATAGGACAAAAACTACACCGAATCCATCCCTGAGTTATTTCCATGAATCAGCGTCACCGCCCACCTAGTACTGGATCGGCATCCAGATCGAAATCGGCATCACCTTCCATCTCCGCAATGAATCGTTCCCAGGTTGAAAGGACGCCTTGGTAGAATTCGATATGCGAGTCGGCGAAACTGCCCAGCGAGTCGCGGAACTCCACGGCCTTTATGCGCTCGAAATCTGCCACTTCACGCACGACTTCCTCGTCAAACATCTCTGAAGTAGTCTTTGCCGACTCTACCTCGCGGGTGAGCTCATCAATGCGGAGCTCAAGCTTGCGAACACGTTCGCGGCGGGATTGTTCGTGGTCGACTCCACGCATGTCTTCCATCTTCGACCGGATGAAGGAGGCTGGCGAGGAGGTAAGAGGGTTGGATGCATAGTAGGCGGCTGGATTGCTGGCAAGTGAATCGCGTTCGGCCACAGCCTTGTTACGATAATCAACCAGGGCCTCGAAGTCAAGCTGCTTTTGTTCGCGAGTCTTGAGTAGGGTCTTGACAGACAGAATGTAGGCATCCATATCGCGCAGCGAACCCAAATAATTCTGGTCGGTGTGATCTTTTAATCCACGCACTCCACGAGCGGTCTCTTCCACGGAAGCCGCGAACACCTGCAACGGCATTTCCACTGCCGGCTCGAGCGGGACGAGTTTGCGGAACTGCGTCGCTAGCTCTGTGTAATCAGTTTCCAAGTCGGACTCTCGCCGCGCGACCCGCGCCACGGTCTTTTCCACATGCGAAAGATCTTCATCCAGCTTATCGGCCTTTTCCTTGACCTCGATGAAGCGCTGATCCGGCTTGTGGACCTTAGTGAACGCGTTGACGAAGCTGTCAGTGAAATTATCAAAGATACCCGTACTCGCGTTGTCCGTGGTGGCATTCACAGTGGTGCGGTTACCATGTAGCCTTACATGGGCATTCCAGTCCGGCGATTCCAGGAAGATGATGAGAAGAGGTGCGCGACGAAGTACTGGGTGCAGGGTCAAGCGTTTTAGAAATCGATGCAACGACCAAGCTCGTCGTGTAGTGAATTCCGGACCGAACCGGTCTCCTCGGACGTACTCCATCTTGTGCTTGTCTGGGAGTGGGGGGACGGCGCATGCTGGGTATTCGCGGTAGAGGGTCTTATACAGGAAATAAAAATCCGTGAATCGTCGTCGTACGCTAAACTCGGATTTCTGGAACGACTTGAAATCGGTCTGTAAAGTCATGGTATTAGCAGTGAACTGTATGCGACATTCCTGGGGTCTCCCGAGGTGCGCAGGCAGCAGTGCCGCCTGGCCCATCGCAGGTGTCTGGTAATCCTCATGAAGGGCTAGTACTCACACTCGTTGTAACCAAGTACGAAATGTATGTATCTTTTGTGCCTTCATTCTCTTTGAGAGGTGTATCGACTCGGCACTCGAGCACACCGTCTCCGATGCCAGCCAGGTCCACGGCGTCGGCCAGCGCGCCAGCCTGGGGCTCTTCATGAGCTGAGCTCATCCTTCGCTTGCCATTTGTGTCATGATCAAAGGTCGATTCTGCTTCTGCGTCTGTTCCGGAGGTTGTCGGGCGAGAGACATCGCTGTCTGCATCGTGTTTCCAGGAGACGCTGTCGAAGTCGTCGTTTTGATCCATGGCGGGGGAAGGGCGGTCGGTCAACCGTGGTCGCCCGACGGAAATGTTTGGTGATCAACGTCAAGGAACAAGAGCCACGCCGTATCGAGGAGTACAAGGATCGGGGCGATGGGGGAAACGTAAAATGGGGGGGGCATAGGTGGAGGCGGGAGGAGCTGGGAAGCTGGTGATCGTCGATCCCCAAGGCGGAGTCCCGAGTGCGGCATCATCGTCATCGGAGGGGTGGCTACCATAGATACTGGTACTGTAGGTGTTTGGTACGGCTTAACTATATACTGTGTAAAATTTGGGTTTCTAGTAGAACAGACATGAACTCAGACTAGTAAGAAAGAAAATAATATATTGTGCGAAGGGATTCTTTGATTCTTCTCTTCAATGTGCACAGAATGCCTTTCTTGCATTCCTTTCGTGGTAAGATGTACATGGACGCCAGACAGCCGATCCGGTCTAATCCCAAACCAAACACAAACAACCCTAGTTCAGTATATCCCCATATAATATAAATCACACAACCCAGACCCAATGCAAAGAAATGCATGACAAGAGAAAAATCACACTAGTTCTTTTCAGACAAGAGATGGCTGCCGGGTGAATCGTCCTCGCCCTCACCATCCTTCTCGGAGATCCTGGTTAGGCCATCACGATAAGGCCCATTGTCATCATCTTCGCTAAACAGCTCATCGTCGCTTTCGCCAGCAAATGCGTTATACAGTTCACCACCGCGTCGCTGGGTTCGACCAGTTCCACCAGTCATCGGATGCATTTCATCCTCATCCTCAATCATTTCAAAATCATAGTCATCCTGAGCGTTGGTGCGACGACGCTTGACGCGTTGGAGCTGGAAGTAGACACCCAAGCCAATGAAGAATACAATAATCATGGCCAAAGACGCATAAATCCAAACTTGAGTTCTCTTCGAAGCACCAAAGGAGGGCAAGAAGTGGGCCAATTTACTGTCCGAGGCGGCAGTGGAAGTAGGAGTCGCAGTTGCAGTTGTATCGGCAGCATTCGTCTCAGTGGCATCCAACTCCACCGCAGGGATTGCCTCGCTTGACTGAGAAGGCTTCTGGTTGGTAGGCCTGTCATGCTGGTCGTCGGGGTTTGTAAGGGTAGCGGTCTTCGTCGGCCCAGGTTGAACAGAGGTTGTCGCCACATGGGCTTCCTCGTAAGGGTGATCATGGTCATGGTCATCGGGCAATGGGTGAAGGGGTTGATCGTTTCCGTCAATGGCCTCTCCCCAGAGATTGAGTCTCCAGTCGATGAACTTGCCGCTGTGCTCATTGACAATAGTATCCTTGACAATCACTGACCATTCGCCCAGAGGTGACTCGCCCCTATAATCCAGATTAGTTGTTTATTCAAAGGGAGATAAAGATCCAAGATAAAGACATACCAGTGAGCAACAGTCATAAATGTCCAGTCTTCATATCCAGATTCTACATCGTCATACTTGCGAGTAACACTGAGATGACTAACAATTCCGCTGGGGCTACGCAGCTCAACGCTGAGATCACCGCGACGAGTGTGGTTGACATTCATTGTAACCGTCACGTGCTCGACTCGAGCGAAGTTGGCATCTTTCATTTGATCGCCAGTGACTGTGTACCGACTGAGTAATCCCTGGGAACCCTGAGGGATGTCATTGTGAACACGGAGCCAAGGCGAGTGGTACCAGGCCTGAGGCTTCACAAGTTCCCAGTCGCGGGCCTTTTGAACCAACGCATAAGAATCGACTTTTCCAAAGCCCCAGTCGTGGCTGAAGATGCGGCCGGAGGGGGACTTCTGCCAGCTTCCGTCGTCCTCATGGACCGGGACGGCAGTCTCTACCATCAGATATTGGATATCACGCCATGTGAGATCCGGCCGAACGCTGAGAGCAAGAGCAATAGAGCCTGCGGCGAGTGGGCCGGCCGCAGAGGTACCACCGTGCCCGGAGTAGCATTGGTTGGTACCAACGTCAGTTGTGTGGATCGCGCTGCTGCCTCCGCTGCTATACGCAACCACCAGCTGGGCCGAGCATGACTCGGAATACGTTGGGTGATCTCCGTTTCGGTCGATGGCACCGACCGTGACGCTGTAAATACTGTTGGTGTACCCGTCGAAGTTGCAATTGTCATCATAGGTCGCACCATTGCCGGCAGCAAACACAAAGACCGAGCCTTTTCCATCCCGACCCTTCTGCACGCCATTGACCATTGCTCGCTTGATGAGCATACCTGGGGCGTCCATAGTTTTGCCATCATCCATGGGTCCCCAAGAGCAGGAGTAGATATCGTTTTGTTGGTATTTGTAATTGATGGATGCCGCTTCGTCCTCGTCTGAGATAGCGGCGGACAGAATTCGAATGCCCGCAATCTTGCTGTCGTAGGCCACGCCGACTCCACAGATGTCGTTCTTCGCAGCTGCGATTTCTCCCGAGCAGCGGGTGCCGTGCTTATCGTCGGAAAGCACAGGACGTGGCTCTGGAGAACCCGTGTTGTAATCCCATGAGCCCTCCGCGAAGTAGTTGGGCTTGAGGTCGTTACTATACATGTCCAATCCATCGTCAACGACAGCCGTCACCACACCCTCACCTGTCACGCCCTCCAGCCAGAGGCCTGTGACATTGAGATCATGGCCCGGTTGAAGGGGATTGAAAAGGTGCCACTGATCCTTGAAGATCGGATCGGTGATTCCCAGGGTATGCATAATGTTGGTTTGAGCTTCGGAAGGTTTCACTTGACTCTCTGTAGCAAATCGTCGATCGAATTTCGGCATGGGAGGTGGGATGCGCTTGTGTAGTCGTTGCCTGGGGCGGGCGAGCTGCTCCGACCAGAGAATACCATCTAGAGGGTCAGCACTGCGAGTAGAAATAATAGGCTCTCCTCGTCGTCGAAGATTCCGCTTCGATCGGAGTCCGTTCAGGAGGGCATTGAAATCATCGGTTTGTTCCCGGGGGAGCGAGAAGGTATGGTGGCCGGCGAGTTCACCGATTTGACCTTCATGTCGTGCACCAAGGGCGTCTGCAATATGGGAGGGAGGGGTATCATCGTCGAGATGGAGAGCAAAAAATTCGCGGGATTCGATGGCGCGAGGGTGAACATTGGCGGCGACTGGGCCGGCGAGACTCAAGGCCACAGCGATGGCGCTGGCGACACGCATGATGGATGGGGTGGGCGGGTGGAGGCGAGATGGAAAGCACTCTCGCTCTTCACGATGAGGAGTAAGGGATCAAAGGCGCAGTTGCCATGAACGATATCCAGTTCCTTTCAAAGACAATAGCGGTCAAGTAATCCGTGTCGAGAAAGGGGAGGTTGAATGAAGAAGATGGGGCGGAGTGGCGAGCAGAGTTAAGTTGAGTTGAGCTGAGTTGAGGGAGAATAGGAGGATCGTCGGGGGGAGCCACTCAGCAATAACACGGGACCCTGATGATCCAACATATGCAGCCCCGTTTCTGTAGGTAGTTTTGTGATTCTGAGGAGGGCCAGATTGCTTGAAACAAAGAGGTCAAGACTAGAGAGACCACGGTCGCGGCCTTGCCTTGGCTTACGTAGTGAGTTCATTGGTCAGGCCAACCATGTATTTGGGTGTCTAGAAATAGTAACAGAGTACGGAGTATAATATCATGATGTTAGTACCAAGTAGGTATCGTGTACTCAGTACTCCGTATTCTGTATGTAATAGAGTATTCTGTACAGAGATCATTAGGCAGGACACCACTAGCTTGCGAGTCCTTGCATGAGTTTGACTTGAAGCTCCACTGGTCAGAAGTATACTCCGTACAGCGTAGGGTAGAGAAGTACCAGAGTATACATAGTCTCCTAGTAGTATCCTATGTAACAGGTAAACTACTCTACTTTGTACTTCTGAGAAGGTCAAAATTTGTCCATGTTCTTCTCCATTTCAATTTTCATTTCATATTTCATATTTTACTTACTCTGTAGACTACGTACTAAGTATTCTCCAGCAATTACAACACGTCCAATGATGGCGGGCCCCACGCGCGAAGGCTGGGGCTCCCAGCCACCACACTTGAAAGTTGCCCTATACTCTACTCCTCCGTACTCCCTTCGTTTCCTTTCCCCTCTTTTCTTCCTCATCTTCCCTGCAATTACAAAATCATCGAGTCATTACGCACTCTATTCTCCTTTGCCCGAAAGCTCAGGCTTAAGAGACCGCGAAAACAGTGCAATCCGATCTCGGGCGATGAGGTGAGCCTACGTTAGGCACCAGACAGAGCGACATTGTGCCCACAGTTTCAGAAGAAGCACTGGACTGAAGAATGTAAGTCGAATTTCCTCTCTCCCCGATCTTTCCTACTTCTCAAATAATGGCCTTGTGGGTTATAGAGTTGACCAGAATCGTTGTTTAGCTGGATCCACTCTTGATTTCCAGCTCGCGCCCATCAAACAGTGTTCGCCCGATTGACTGGTTCTCCCCACGAGAGATTTTTTTTAAAAGAAAACGGCTTCAATGGCCGCCGCTGCAATGCGCGACTCACCTGATATGGCAAATGGCCATTCTAATCACCGGAATGCCAATGGTACCAATTCGGATTCGGGTCGCAGACAGTCGACAGCCGGTCCAGCGTCGATGGACTACGAAGATGAACCGACATACGAGCCCACAGCAGCAGAACGTCGATATCCACGTTCCGCACCTAAGGCCACGGCTGCTGCTAGATCATCTGGCCAGCCCGGTCGTTCTTTTTCTGCTCGTGCTCGGGATTATCCGGCAAGTGAATCAAACTATACAACTCGCAAGTCTTCACTACAAACACCACCGGGGTTAACAGAGGAATCAACCACGCCTCGGGGCCTCCCACCGGCGGAATACATCCAAGACACGCAACAGCATGAAGAGCCGAAGCTCGAAGCACCCCCCGAGCCGATCAAACACTGTCCGTTCTACAAATGGGTCTCGCAAGGATTGGGCTTCGGACCGTTCGCCCTTGCAGAAGCTCGAAGTGACCCTCTCTGGGATCACCAAAGAGGAAAAACGGGCCCGGATGCAAGAAGCTGAAATGCGATTGCGAGAGCGCATGGCTCGCAAAAAGGTCGAGCGGGAGAATGCGGAGGCAAAGACACAGGCAGCTGCTACTGCTCCTCAACCAAGCGTGAAGCAGAACGTGCCTTCAGAAAGCCGTGCAATCCCCAGCCCTGCCAGAAAGGGAGATAGAAAGAATATCGTCCTCGAAGAAGCGACGGCTAACGCACTAAAAGCGGGACCACGACATGTTCCTGGGCCTCGTCAAAATGAAGTGAATAGTCCTCAATACCAGGCCGCCCGGAGTTCTGAAAATTCTCAGTACCCACAGGCCGAAGATGCTATTCCGCCGTCTGCAAAGCTAGGCAATGTGCCTCGAAGATCGGTCACAGTGAGCGGGCCTTCAGGAAAGAATGGACCTGCTGGGAAGCCTCCTGCACGGAGCCAGTCCCTTGCCCAAAGAGGCCCTGCTGCACCGATGCAACCCGCGGACGTTATCTTGAGCGAGGAAAGTCTAGGAACACCTCCAGCAGCCCGAACGGCACATGATAGCGTCGAATCTCACACCAAAAAGCGACAGACGGTGTCTTTCAATGTGCCGCCACCGACGCCTCCGCCAATTTTCGAGTGGAAGAATGCGCCAGTCGCTCAGTTGGGGTCAACCGACTTTGATTTCCAGCACATGGATATGGAGCGAAGCAAAGCATGGTGGGAAGGAGGCGGTACAGCTGACCGTTGAAAGAGCAGAGCCCTGCCCAAGAACTATAAGACTCCAGCTCAAAAGCTGACAGGTGAGCCTTCCAATCCTAGCCCTAGGCTTGTGGCATAAAATAAATCAAAGAAGCTAATATTCAACAGGTGTCACTGAATCTAAAAACTTCGAGCCCAAATTGTTCCTCAGATGTGGTCCTTTGCTTCGATACACGGGTATTAAGAAGTTCAAAGTTGATGGCGCCCACGGTACTGTCGAGAAGGATATATGGCGAGGCTCTATTTTGATCGTCACGAAGGACACACGCTCTTCTTACGATACGCCGCCTTCATTGCGCCTGTTCTCTCAACCGATGGACCTTCTTCCTCCTCCACCTGCCGAAGTCAGTGGTGAAGAACTGGCTCCTGAATATATCGACCCCACTGCCGGTCTCATGAAGGTTGGACGAGACGGAAGACCTCTCTATGTGAAACCAGTTGACCACCTGGAGGAAGGACTTGACCTATCTGCCGTGGAAAATGATGACGGCATATATGAGCTGTCACCCAGCCAAACAGACGACAACCCCGGAGGATCCAAGCAACCGATTCCTGCAAATCGAATCAATTCTATCGATGGTGAAACAGCCGGGTTACACCGCGATATTCCCGGAGTCCGCCTATACGCCGACTCGGCTCGAGACGTGACCTTTTGGAGGTTCAATGTCGAGGTCGAGCTTGGATCAACCCAGCAACGAATCGCATACAGAATCAACCGTGGACCGGCACTGGGCTTCTGGGTTCCAGCTGCAGGCCAGCCGATGAATATCATGTTCCACAGCGGCAATGGATTTGGTCCTTCTGTCGACTCAGATCGTTTCTGCGGACCCGATCCCCTCTGGCGAGATATTTTGAACGAACACCAGACTCGACCATTCCATGTGATGATCGGTGGCGGTGACCAGATATTTAATGATACAGTCATGACGGAATCGGCCTTTTTCCAGGAATGGATCAAGATCAAAAATGTCGCGGAAAGATATGGGGCTCCGTTTACTCCTGAATTCCGCGCCGAGCTCGAGCAATTCTATCTGGGGCGCTACGCGGCCTGGTTTTCACAGGGCCTCTTCTCTCTCGCCAACTCTCAAATCCCGATGGTCAACATGTGGAACGACCATGAAATTTTCGAAGGGTTCGGATCCTACCATGAGGAGTTCATGCAGAGCGCCGTGATCTCAGGTCTTGGAAAGATTGCGTTCAAATATTATTTACTATTCCAGCACCACAGTGTTCCAGACGAGACGGAAATTGAAGAGCCTAGTTGGATTCTCGGCGCCCAGCCAGGTCCCTACATTGAGCAGAGAAGTCGAAACTTGTTCATGTCTCTTGGTAGTGATGTGGTTTTGTTGGGCTTGGATTGCCGAACTGAACGAAGGGTGATTTTCTTACGCCATATATATCTGAAAGAATAACCGCTAATTAATTTACAGAGCAACGAAGTTCTTGCGGAGGCTACTTGTGACCTAATCTGGGATCGCTGCCATCAGGAGATCGTCAGAGGAGAGACTAAGCATTTGATCGTTCTTTCCAGTGTTCCTATTGCCTACCCTCGAGTGGTAAGTTTCTGCTTATGTTCTTTTTTTCTGGATGAAGATGTGACCTAACCAAAATGCCAGGCTATGCTCAAGAACTTCATGAACAGCCGTAAGTCCATCGGCAAAGCAGGCATGATCGGAGGCCTCGTCAACAGATCTGGTGGCAACGTGGAGGTATATGATGACCACTGGGCTGGAAAACATCTCAAGTCCGAAAGAACCTGGCTAGTCGAAGATCTCCAAGATCTTGCCGCGGAAAAGTCCGTCCGGGTGACCATTCTCAGGTATGGCTTCATTTCATTCTAATTTCATCCGAATACATACTAACATGTATCATGCAGTGGCGATGTTCACTTGGCTGCAATCGGTCAATTCTATTCAAACCCCAAACTTGACATTGCAAAGGATCATGACTACCGCTATATGCCGAATATCATCTCGTCGGCGATTGCTGATATGCCAGAGACGGAAATTATTTCGGACACTCTCAATAAACGCAACACGGTGCACCACATGGATTCCAACACCGACGAGGACATCATTCCAATCTTCACGCAGGACGTGAATGGCAAATCTCGAAACAACAAGCGCTTGCTTCCACGACGAAACTGGTGCTCAATCCGAGAATATATCCCGGGATCAACACCAGGTAGCACACCTGAACCGGAGACTCCAGAAGAACCCGAGCCACGTCCTGGTATGCTTCAACGCACTCTATCTCTCGGAAGGGGTGACAAGGGAGCTAGCGGTAAGCCTGGCATACTCCGACGACTATCGACCAAGGGCCCGCCCCCGACAAGAACCTTGAGTTTCGGACGAAACCAAAATGTTCATGCTCGTCGCTCCAGTGTCGATTCTTCTGTTCCTCGGCCCATGGAGGGTGGTAACAGTTACTTCCCTGGAACATTGCCGGAACCACAGCCTGGCGTCTTCCACCGCCGACCAACCAATCTCAGCGAAAAGGCTGCCAAGCGAGCAGCCAAGGAAGGAGACGATGGCGCAGGCGCTTTTGTCAACCTTGAAAGAGGATTGGCCATTACATTGAACATGGAAGTCAACCCTCAAGACCCTTCGGGCATCACAATCCCGTACAAACTCCTCGTTCCTGCCTTGCAGTACGAAGGAGACCAAGATGACCCGGCCCCAACACAGGTCAAGAAGGGCTGGCGCAAGTGGTTGAATGTGCCACGCAGAAAGAAAGCCTCCAGGGCCCAGCAGGAGGAGGAAGAGGAGGGCAGTGACGAAGATGCCGATGATATTGAAGACCACGACACGATCAATAATACCCGCGCCAACGCTGCTGCATCTCATCAGTATGAGGGATATGCTGGTAGCGATGAGGACTCCGAGGGAGAGGTACCTCAGAGATTGCCTGCCCACGCTCTTGTCGACGACTCATCTCCCACTGAGGGGGAAGATGATTACTCCTACTCGGACGAAGAACCAGCACCACGCAAGAAAAAGTGGTTTGGGGTGATTTGATTTTTCTGTACACTATGATGATTTACGCTTGGGGACCCTTCGAGGGTTCCTCTTACGATTTGTATGACCTTTTTCTTTTAGATAGCCGGATATCTGCGATTTAGCATATGATTTTTCCGCTGGATAATGCATTTTGAATTCTACTGCAGCAAAAGACATGAGCTACAGTCTACAGATATTGAGATTTAGTATGGCGCAGTAGTAATGACTAAACTAGTATAATACTAGTAAGCTTTGAAATATAGAACGTTCTTTCAGTACAGGTCGGCTCCACATGCATCTAATCTTTGCTGAGTGATCAGATCAGCCCTAGACCGCCTTCGGGGGAGCCTCACAATGGCGTGATACCGAACCGAGTCGGTGAGAGGTGGCCACATAATCAACAGAGCCATCTAGAAGATGATCTTGAGTGTACGTAGTACTCCGTAATCTACAATCTATGATCCACTGTACCGCAGTTATGTTCCTAATGCTGTCACTGGTTAGCTCCATCGGAAAACGGAAGCACTGCTGCCAGGTGATGTGATATCTCTATCGCATTGGATTATGTACTCACCAGGTCTCGACCTGGTCACGTGGGCGGTGCTTAGAAAGCGAGGGGCCTCGACGCGGGCAAATGATTAATTTGAGTCGCGGAAGAACAGAGAAAACTGCCTTGATCTCATTGTCAAAGTCTCCACCCGCCCTCCACCACCCCTCAATTCCCAAGGAAAAAATAGCCATTTATATTCTCTCCTCCTCCCCGAGAAATACCTTCAAGCTGTTTTCCTCCGCCTTTCGCCGTTTCCCCTCCGCCCTCCGATCCCTTGGATTCACTGCCGCTGCCGCCTCGACTGTTCACCAACAGTCCCCTCCTACCTCGGTCTTTTCCAACTCCCTATCGACGCCCGCGCGCGTCAATTGCATGAACACCGCCAGAATGGTTCACTCCAAGGTCGTCAGTAAGTTTTCCAACCCTCAGTGTCCCCGATGCTCCCCGGTTGAGGCAAGCATGTCCTGCGGACCATAGACTAATGATATTTTGCCCGCAGTTATCGGATCGGGCCCCGCCGCCCACACTGCCGCCATCTACTTGTCGCGTGCTGAACTTGAGCCCGTCCTGTATGAGGGTATGCTCGCCAATGGCACCGCTGCCGGTGGCCAGCTCACCACCACCACCGACGTCGAGAACTTCCCCGGTTTCCCCGACGGTGTCGGCGGCCAGGAGCTGATGGAGAAGATGCGCAAGCAATCCGAGCGCTTCGGCACCGAGATCATCACCGAGACCATCTCCAAGCTGGACCTCTCCCAGCGCCCCTTCAAGATGTGGACTGAGTGGAACGACGCCCCCGGCAGCGAGCCCGTCCGCACCGCCGACGCCGTCATCATCGCTACCGGTGCCAACGCCCGTCGTCTGAACCTGCCCGGCGAGGAGACCTACTGGCAGAACGGTATCAGTGCCTGCGCCGTCTGTGACGGTGCTGTGCCCATCTTCCGCAACAAGCCCCTGTACGTCATTGGTGGTGGTGACTCTGCCGCCGAGGAGGCCATGTTCCTGGCCAAGTACGGCAGCACCGTCACCGTTCTTGTCCGCCGTGACAAGCTCCGTGCCTCCAAGGTCATGGCCGACCGTCTCCTCGCTCACCCCAAGTGTGTTGTCCGCTTCAACACCGTCGCTACCGAGGTCATTGGTGAGAACAAGCCCAACGGCCTGATGACCCACCTCCGTGTCAAGGACACTACCAGCGGCCAGGAGGAGATCGTCGATGCTAACGGTCTGTTCTACGCCGTCGGCCACGACCCCGCGAACGCTCTCATCAAGGAGCAGCTCAAGCTCGACGAGGATGGATACATCGTTACCCAGCCCGGTACCAGCTACACCTCCATCGAGGGTGTCTTCGCTTGCGGTGATGTCCAGGACAAGCGTTACCGCCAGGCCATCACCAGTGCCGGCACTGGCTGCGTTGCCGCTCTGGATGCCGAGAAGTTCATCGCTGAGGGTGGCGAGTCCCACGCTTCTCTCTAAATGCATACATCTCCTTCCCTCTCTCCCTTCCTCCTTCACCTCCCATCTACACCCACACGACCCTCCCATTACAGCCCTCTCATGATTCTAGCCTGCACTGCAGATAATCTCGTTTAGAAAGACCCCCGGCGCTCTTCTAGACATCTGTCTCTGTTCGCGATCTGAGTCTCGATTTCCTGTGCATATTTCTTTTTCCTATCATGGTTGACGGATTCCCTTTACTTTGCCATTGCTACATTGTTCTGAATTTTTTATTACCTTTTTTCTTTGATACATTGGGTGTCCTGGGTTGATCTACGATTTTCGAGCGATTCTTCTTATAGATCAGCCTCGTTTGCGTTGGTTTCGGTGCCCTTAGATATAGAAATAGATGATATTCCGTGATCAATATTGAGCAGTAAATCCCGAATGTAGTGCACTCGTGATGAGTTTGAACTAGGGCTTGAAAAGCGAAATAGAGTCTTCATGTTCGATTGAGTGTGTTCTGACTTGGACACATACTGCTAGTAGTACTAGACATTAAACCCCCTGGAACTTAATTTTCTATATAACCCTAGAAGTAATTAAAGCTACTACTAGTAATCTTCAACTTGTGTACGTTTCGAAGCAACTGGTAACAATGGTTACCTCATTCAAGGCCTATGATAGTGATAAAACACGAACCTCCTCCAAAAAAAACAAGCAAAAGCAGAACAATTAGCCTCCGTTCAATTATACAAGCATCAAGAATTCTATGAAGGCGCTTCCCACCGCTCAAACGGATTCGCCGCACACCACTGATCCTTAACCTCATACGACCTCCGCTCCCACTCCAAAGCAATGGCCTTCCAAGAATCCCACGACTCATCGTTACTCCGCCGATTAGCCTCAATCTGGTCCAGATACGGCTTTTTCTCCTCGGGGGAAGCATTGCGCCACATCTGGCCGAGCGCGTGACGGATTTCGTCGCGGCCGGCCTTTGCAGCGGGATTCTTGCTCGAGGCGCGTTTGGTCTCGTCACATTGGTCGCGGCATTTGGTCCAGTAGTCTTTTTGGTAGAGGAGAAAGGGGTTCAGGCCGGCTTTTGCGGGGCGGGTGGGCATTGCGCCGATTTCGGCGTAGATGGTTGTCCACAGTGCTTGGTCGTAGGTTTCGCGGCGTTGTTTGTCTGTTGAGGTGCGGGATGGGGTGGATAGGGTTGTTGGTTCGGGGTTGGGTTTGGGCTCAACGGCTGGGGCGGTCGTTTCGTTGGGTGTGTTATTTTGTTTCTCTGGGACGAGGGGGGTGGGTACTTCGATTGGACCGATGATCGACTCTATTACTTCTGACGCTGCGCGGAGTCCAGACAGGTAGGCTCCGTGGACGGTTGCAGGGTGTGTGCCGCAGGTCGCTTCGCCTGCAAAGTAGAGGTTGCCGACTCGTTGTGCCATCAGATCGTAGTCTTGGGGGAGGGCTCCGGCGGCCACGTAGGAATAGCTGCCTCGGGTAAAGGGATCGGAAGCCCAGCGAGTGATGATAGTCTCGATGGGATCCGGAACGACGGCGCTTTTGAATACATTACGAAGCTGGCCAGTGACTTCAGCGATGATCTCGTCATCCGGCGTAACTTCTGCCTGGTGAGCTGCATCGCCTGCCATGAGGGCGATCAAAACTGGCAGTCCAGTGGTTTTCAGACAGTTCCAAAATAGGTAGAAACGACCCCGATTGGCTGCGTAATCCTCTTGTACAGTGCTCTCCGGGTTGGTAGGCTCACGAAGCAGACCAAACATATCTCGTTCAGTGTCCCAGAAGGGTTCGTCAAACACCAAGACCACCTTATTCATGACACCGAATCCTAGTCTATCGATTGCCGCTGATTTCCATTCCGGCAAGGGAGGTTCGAATTCCACTGTTTTGTGCTTGAGAGTGCCAAGCGAGCCACTGTATACGACATGGTCTGCCACGAATTTCTCCCCGTCCTCGCAAGCTATTACTGTTTTCTTTCCAGATCCGGTGGCATCGTAGGAAATCTTCTTCACATTTTTGTTGGTGCGGAGATCAAGCTTCGCAGGGAGAGAGTAGAGTCCAAATGGCAATTGCTGGTAGCCTCCAATCACAGTTGAATGCTCCCCTTCGAACTCATTGCCGATATCCTGATCCCAACCCGAAAGACTCAGCTTGTCAACATTTGTTGCATTTGCGTATTCAAGATTTGCGAAATGCCAATTTAAAAGTCGCAAATCTTTGGGCGTGAGCGGAAGCATGCGCTGATACTGCAGCACACCGTCATTCATAACTGCCCCAAGTGTCTGATTTTGTGAATCATTGGCGATGGGATCTAGATCGAGGTTTGCTTGAGGAGAAATCCCGGGGTTCAAAGTCCACCCAGTAGCTTGACAGGTAAGAGCCGCTGGATGCTCCTTGGAGGGGCTCATGAGGTCGCCAACAACATCGGGATTTGGTTGGAGGTCGGCTGTTTTGTGTCCAACGCCGCGACGTCGACGCACTCTCTTTGTTGGAACGAGCGAGTCAATAGTTCCTGCTGCGCGCGCCTCTTCGTATTGTCGTACAGTGAGGCCGTCGTCCACCAAAGACTCACGGCCATTATCAATCATATCGTGATCTCCCTCCGCAGTGGGGGAAACAAGTGTTTTGCTCCGGTAAACGCCCGTGCGGTCCAAAACATCATTGTATAACTTTTCATCCATAGCGTCTTGTACCTCATGAACAGGTGAACCATCAATGTCATAAATCGTCGAGATGTCTCGTAGCAAGTGATAATGGAGCGCCAATTGACCACGCACAATCTGGTCGAGAGGATTACCGTGGTCGAAGCCCACAATGATCTGCGCACCCATTTCTGCCTTGGGCGTGAGTCCAGGAGGGAGCATGTCAGACTCGAGACTCTGTAGAGGATGCGAGTACACCCTTCCGCCAATTCTGGGACGTCCCTCGAGCACAATGACGCGTGGGGCAGTGTTGGCATCACGATAATGACGGAATAGTCCTTCAAGCTGTCGAGCACAGCCTAGTCCTCCAACTCCACCTCCAATAACCACGATAGTAGGCCCTTCTTTACGTCTACCTCGCCTAGGAGGGACTGGGGGCGTAGGAATCTCAACGCACCCGAAATTAATATATCCGTTCCGTGACAACCAGTCGTACGCGAAAGAGGCCAAATTCATCCAACGATAATCTTTGGCACATCCTATCGCTTCTTCACGGGTGATACCAACCATTGGATTCACCGTCCAGAGCCGGAGAATCCCATTTCGAATGTTCAAGTAGATTGTGACATGCACGTGGCAAAGCTGATCTTGCAATGCTTCCTGTTCCTTCCTGTGTAGTGCATATGGATCTAATCTAGATGCATACGCCGCAGCGACACACTGCTGGGCATAAATCGACGGCGCGAGCCTTGATGGAATGGAACTCCGCGGTCGACATTTTGATAAATCAACCTTGTTGCTCTCTAATATGCTTACACCCGCGGTGTGCGTAGGGGTAGAGGTGGATTGTCCGGGCGTCGTGGGAGGCGATGTGGACTTCGCGGTTTGATATGACGAGGTAAGGGACATCGAAGCGGTGGACTCGTTGGGAGTACTGATGTTCCCATGTATATCACCCTGGATATTGCCAATTTTGTGAGGACCAGTCATCCCAGGAGGAGGCGGCAAAGCGCCAGAACCAGCAGTCTGTGTCTGCTCCTCTACGGGGAATGATTGATGGGGTTGGGTGAGCGGACCGTCGGATGTCCGAAGCCGTTTTACAGGCGGTTCGGAGGCTTCTAATCGATCTGGCATAGTGTGTCTTGTACCGGTTGTAAAGAAAACATCATTTGGAGCAAGGTGATTGATGTTTCCGCCCTGGTAGGGGGGTTTCTCCCGATATATCGTGGTACGCCACTGGGGCCGAGCCGTCCATATTCAACGTCGGCAGGTTATAGGTTGGCGCCCTCAGGGAGGAATGGGAGGCGGAAGGAGAAACTGGATGGAACTCCATTTTCATCTACCAAATAGAAGATCCAGATGATCTTCCAAAAATTGGCGATGGCAAAGGATACCACAAGAGGGCCGGCAATACGAAACCCTTGCGAATTGAATATCAGGCGTCACCACAGCCACCGATGTTCAACCATGTTGAGCTGTATCAAGTTCTAATAGGTGATAGGCAAGAAACGTCAATGATTGAGTATATCTATATTTCCAAATTAGACACAGCTAACATCTAGGAAGATGCGTGGTGACGGGGGCATCTCTTTTTTCATCTTTCTTTTTCGGTCCGGCATACATATTGCGCAGGGAGGAAACGAGTGATCGGAATACATACAAACTAGAACAGCCAGTCGACTTCCCCCAGCAAGCGTAAACCTCTCGCTGATTAAGAATCCGACTGGCATCAAATCGAAGGGACCCAATTGGCATGCGCGCGAAGGGAGGGGTGGATGGCAGGAAACTTGGAGAAGTCGCAGGTTCCTCGGGGCGCGTATTTCTCAGTCCGCTTCCGGCTGCCGGTCTCCCTCCTCGACCACTCGTAGTAGTTAATAGTAATTATACAGCAACACTGGTCGACTAGACCCTGAATCTGATGTGAGATAGTACAGTCTATTATCCGAGATTTCCTTAAATACGATACCATGCAAAATTTATTCTACTCAAAATTTCAGGCCTGTCGCCCAACGTGGCTATGCAGCCCATACGTCTCACTAGCATCACCCACATACTCGTCCGAGTCATTATCCGTAAACTCATCATGGTAAGACCGTCGGTTGGCCTTCTTCTTCCACCGTTTGGGTCGGTCACCGTCACTGTCACTGTCATCTCCGAGTGCGAGGTCAACACGGTCGTCGTCGTCGTCCTCAAACCCAATGCCCTCTTCTTCGTCGCGAGCCAGCATTGTTGCAGCCTCATTAGCGTCATCATCATCGGCGAATCTGCCATGTGGCCGATTGGCGGCATGATCGGACCGAAGAGACTGTCGGATATCGGCGCGCTCTTTCTCCTCGAGTTCTTTCGCACGGGCCAGTGTCCTGCAGGAACAAA